CGCTTCTTGCAAGCCCCTCCCTCTCTGCTCGGCAGTAAGTGGTGCTTTGCCAACACAGTGGGGAAGGAAGGACAAGCACCTCATATGCACCCCTCAGGTACTGGGGTGTGCTGTGAGTTAGGAGGAGCTGTGCCCCGGGAGAAGCTGCTACTCATGACTGCAGTGGGACTCTATGGTACAACTCTGCTACAGCTGCCCACAAAACAAAAGGAAGGGTTTGGATATGGGACTCTGAGCCAGACTGTTTTGAAGCAGAAGGCGGGTTAGTTCAGTTGTGGTGGCTTGGCAGGGAGACCTATCAAGACTCCTACATTAGTGCTTGCTCATGAACTCACCTTGTGATGGCCATGATAAACCAGGTGAGCTTCAGGCTATATGAGTGCACTGCAAACAATTTCAACGGAAGCTCACATACCCTAAATGGAGAGATGACCTTTGCTACAAAGCATTAGGACTCACCCGAAAGCCTACCAGTCTTACACCAGGACTGCAGGCTGTACCAGATTTCCTAAGGCACTTCAAAAAGGTAAAACAAAAATAAAATATTTCTCAAATACAGTGGAAGATCAGCCTTCTGAGACTGCAATAGAAGCCTACATCCACAGTACAGTACCCTGAAGAGCTATTTGTAAATTGCAATTTACTTTAAAACATTTCATAAAACACTGATTCTTGAAACACCAGAGATGCCCATTCACACTCACCTGGTGTTGTCTCTGTCAGCAAAGGCTCTGCAGCTGGCAGCATAGAGGGCCACCACCTCTGCTTGCCACATCCATGGGGACATCTGTCAGAGCTCATCCTGTTCAGCCAAACCAATAAACCTCCCAGGTATGGCAGCAAGAAGCACTACACACTCCATCCCTATGGGCAGGCTTTAAAGGACACACATTAAGCACCACCAACAAGGGAAAGCAGAAACATTCCCTAACCTGCTCCCAAAAGCATGTGCTGCCAGTTAGAGAAGTGACAGTGATACCAGGTGTCTCTTGTGACCAGTTGCAACCCACCCAAAACAGTCAACAAGGTACAAAAAGAAAAATTGACTGCAGCATTCAATTTGTTCTAGGCCTAGGCTTAGCCCCCTGCACCAGGGCAGCTGGCAGTACACCCATTTCTCCCACTCCCCAGGAGCTGAGGGACTCAACACACCTGGCAAGGAGATGTTTGCGTACTCTGGTGGGCAGGAAAACAAGGCTCCAAAAACCAACAGGGATCCCCAAAGAGGGGAGCAGGACAAGGTGACGCACTCTCCAGGAACAGGCAGTGGGGAGCCCAGGGCAGCAGTTCACTGCCCAGCACCAGGGATGCACTAGTCTTATGGGTTTTTCCAGGAAAGACAAATTTTGGACATTCATGAACAAAATAACCCAGACAAAAGCTGTCTCTGCTCCCCACCCCCAGTTGAAATATTCTGAACAGTAGCTTTCTAACAGCTCCTCTGTGTGAAGGGGATGGTGGTACAGTTGCTCCTTGCAGCAGTGCTGACCACCCAGTGACTGCTTCTGCCCCATGACACCAGCAGCTCAAGCAGCAAAGGGTGGTGCTTCACTACAGCATCACAGAATCAATTAGGATGGAAAAGACCTCTGAGATCATCGAGTCCAACCCATGACCAAAGACCACCATGTCAACTAGACCATGGCACAAAGTACCACATCCAGTCTTTCCTTAAACAACTCCAGAGACAGCGACTCCACCACCTCCCCAGGCAGTCTATTCCAATGTTTAATCACTTTCTGTGAAGAAATTCCTCCCAGTGTCCAACCTAAACCTCCCCTGGCACACTTGAGACTATGTCCTCTTGTCCTGTCATGAGCTGCCTGGGAGAAGAGGCTGACCTTCACCTAGCTACAACTTCCTTTCATGTAGCTGTAGAGAGTGATAAGGTCTCCCCTGAGCCTCCTCTTCTCCAGGCTAAACAACCCCAGCTCCCTCAGCCACTCCTTACAGGACTTACCCTTCTGACCCCTCCCCAGTGCTATTACCCTTCTCTGGACCTGCTTCAGCACCTCAGCGTCCTTCCTGAACTGAGGGGCCCAGAACTGGACACAGTACACAAGGTATGGCCCCACCAATGCTGAGTACAGGGGCACAGTCACTTCCCTAGTCCTGCTGGCCCCACTATTTCTGATACAAGCCAGGATTCCATTGGCCTTCTTGGCCACCTGGACACTCTAGTGGACACATCCACATGAGACAGGCCCTTAGCAGACTTGCTGGTCTCTTTTCCCTGTCCCCATGCTCCAGTGGCTTGATTGGCACTTAAATAAATTGCAATTAATTGCAAAGATGGGGGAATAATTTGTGAGCTACCCACACTGTGGCAGTGTGAGGTGCCTGGGCTGTGGCCATGCGCCTGCACTGCTAACATGCCCTGTGGCTACCACAGCATTAGTCCAGCCCTGCCATGAAGCATGATGCCACCAGACATGGAAATATCATGAGTCAGCAATGTTTTGAATCCTTCCCCTTTGTCTGCTGGCTTTTGGCAGCTGGTGTGCCCTGTCCTCCTGCCAGCAAGTGCTTCTCAAAGCCAAGGGTGGCCAGAACATCTCCTTGGAAATCAAGGGATCGCAAGTCATTTGGGGATAACTTATAGAAAAGTGTTGTCAAGTCAGGAGCAGATCAGCAGTCAGGAAGATAACCTGCTGCGTTAACTAATTCTGTGTAGACCGGGGAGTATATGCTCCCTGGAGCCAGCTGCTGCAGCCCGCGAGGAGAACACGGCTGGCTGCTCTCTCTGAGCCCACGGGTCGCAGGGCTGGAGCACACGGAGTGCCCGCGTACGCGCCCGGTTTCCTCCCCTATTTCTTTAGCTCAGAATCAGGCTCAGGCTCGCTGCCGTCAGTACTTCCCGCTGCCTCCCTCCCTCGGCGGGATGAGGGCGGTGCCCGAGGAGCGCCCGCCGGAGCGGCTCCTCCTCACGGCACAGCCTTGGCCACCAGGCGGCGCCGTCGGGCCGCGGCGGTCGCGGGGCGGGCGCTCAGAGCCTCCGCGGCGGAGCGGCCGCGGCCCCGGGCGGGTGTGGGGGTCACACCCTCCCTGCCCTCACGGCACTGCCCCCTCACGGCACTGCCCCGACCCCGGGCGGCTCTGGGGGTCACACCCTCCCTCTCGTCACGGCACTGCCCCAGCCCCGGGCGGGCCGGGGCGTAACACACACCCTCCTCTCTCGGCACCGCCCCGGCACGGAGCGCACCGCGGCACGGGGAATGGCGAACTTCAGCAAAACGCTCTCAGAACCTGCAGGGAAAACACCCCGAACTGTGCGGGAGGAAACACACACACACACACACACACACGCACACACACGCACACACGCACACACGCACCCTTCTGCACACCGCAGCCAAGCGCTAAACACAGCATAGCAAAACTTAGCATTTCTTAAACAGAATCTGCATACTAGAGGGTCAGTTAAAGTGTATTTTTGATAATGCCACCACAGACCAGTAAAGTATCCAAGAAAGCTCGCAGGTTCCGTGTAAGCTCCCACCTCAGCTCTTCTTCCACTCCGCGTCTCAGGTGGAGCTCAGGTAGCTCTGACTCAAGCTAGGAAACACACCGACTGAGATCAGGGAGATTTCTGTAATAACCATTTAGTATATTAATGCCCACAGGAGAATAGGAAAAGTAAACCAAAAAAAGGTACCGAGTGTTAAGAATGCCAGATCATTAAACAGACTCATTGCTTCAGCATTAGGATCTTTTCCCATGGATCCAGGACAAAGAACATCCCATGAAAACACCCACCAACCCGCAGGATTTCTGATGTGTACACCACCGTTAACCAGCAGCAAATGTGCTACAAGTGCTGCCATGGTGTTGGGCTCAGCACAAAACTCTCATTTAAAAAGACGCTGTAGTAAAGGTCAAATGTTTGGAGCTGAAATAGTCCATGCTTGCCCTCCTTAAAGGTCTGTCAGCACTTTTCCCAACACCAGTACATAAATGAGTGCAGATATGAACCGAATCTCAGGGCGTAACACCCCACCTTTTGTCTAATAGTATTTTTGTAAGTTTTAATTGCATATTATTTCTCAGAAATTACTGCCAAAAAAAATTATCCCTTTTTATATGAGTATCTGTATGAAACTTGCAGCTGAAGGAGATGCTGTACATTAGGCTCACAAAAATCCAGTTGGATTGCTTTCCATTTGACCCAGCGGCACATGGAAAGATGGACACAATGGGCAACTAAAAGGCAGGCCCAGGAACAATCATGAGAAGGGAAATATCACTAAAATACAATGAATGCACACTACACTAATTGATATAATCCATGTTTTTATTTCTATTCCAAATTGGGAACAGAAACATTCCACTGTAAAGGGACACTGACAAACACAATAAACCCACTTACACAACGTAGCCTTTTCATGCCTCTTAACAACCCCACCAGCTTTTACTCTGGGTTTCCTTTCTGCCAGTTGGTTCACAGGAAGCATTTGTACCTGCGATTAAGACACTGCTGCTACAGGTGTGACCGTTTTATCATCATTAATGACTTGCCTTGCATAGAATTGCTTCTGTCTTTGGTCACCAGTATGATAAGGAAACGAGGACCTTTGATAGGAGTAGGGCTGAATCATCCATGTGTGAGCTGTCTTCTGTTTGCTCAGTTCTGCTTCCCCAGTCACCATGGATTTAAAGGTATCTGTGCCCAGCTGACGGACTGTTGCAGCAATAAGCCAAACACCAGAACAGGACATTAGAGGGCAGCAAGCACACTTACTGCTGCCTGGCTTTATCCAGAGCCAAGGGAAAGGTAAAAACCTGTGTCCCAACACTCAGGGACAAAAGGTTTCTGTGCCCATTTCCAAATAGTTCCAAATTTCCTGGTTTTGACTGACTGCAGTGTGCAAGAGGCAGATTTAGGAATATACTGCACCCCAGCTGAACCATGTGAAGAGTGCAAGGTTAATTGAACCAACGTGGAGAACATAAATGTTCAGGTCACTCAGACAGTAACTTGTGAAATCCAGGGCACCATAATCTCATGTGAAAGGATTTTTATTTATGAAAGCGTGATTAAGTCCCCTTGCAATATACACAGACAACCCCTATTCCAGCTGTACCAAATGCAATGCTACAGTTCACACAAACAAGATGGAGAATGATGTTCTGGTCATTGGTTATCTCAAGTGGATTTTTTTATTCAGAATGACACCTGAGCAAAGGCTGTCTGGCACTGAAAGTTATAATTAAGGCTTTTTACATGTTTTAATAAAATGGAACTACCAACATCGCTTACCACAAAACTCAAATACACCACCAGCTTCTGTAACAGTTGAAAAGAAAGTTTGAAGGCCATTTTTATAAGCCTTGACAGATGTCAAGAAATAGACACTGAACTTCCTTTTCATGCTCAAAGTAGTGATTTATGACAGAATATATTAGGAAATCTCATATTTTCACAGTTCTCTTAACTACTGCAGAGCCCTTTATTTCTCCAGTTGCCTATCAGCATTATAACAAATAACACTACTTAAGGTTTAAAGGCTGAGGACTAGTAAAGTCACGCACATAAAAAGAGAGTAAAATGAGTAGGTTCAAGTTTTCCATTACTCATTTGTAAGAGTGGAAGAGAAACTCTGCAATATGTGCTTTTATTTCACTTATCCATTTTGTGACCTCAGGGAAAAAACAGCTAGAGGAACAGGTAGTGAAGAAAAGGGTTAGAGTACTTGTTTCTAAAAAAACAAAAAAATCCCAAAACCTACAAAATACCACTACCAAAAAAAAAATAAAATTACTGCCAGACCATTACAGTCCTATCAAAAGCTGAGAAACATCAGTATTGCAGCTACGCTGGTTTAAGGATGCAAACAAGGCATCATTCATAAGCAAAAGATGCAGTCCCTTATTTGCCTGGGTGCTACAGCTGGACAATGCATACAGGCACACAAAGATGGTTATACTAAAAAGAGAATAGGTACTAAAATTCAATGACTGGCTGCGTGGTCTCCAGCTTTTATGTGGTCTAGCACATAAAAACACCTCAAACTGAAAATATGTATTACGGACCTTAACATGCAATGAGAGCAACAAATTGCACCTTACATGCTTCTTCCACCAGTAAGAGGTGGAAATGCTCCTCAGGAGAGGGCATTTAGTGACAACAGTAGTACATGATAAAGTGTTTGTACTTCCGAGTAAGAAAACTAGTCAAACACACTGGTAAGCCTGCTCAAGAGCCTGAGCTGGAAGCTTGAGCTCTGCTCTGTCTTCTGCAAAGACGCTCAGCTACTCCACGGCTAAAGCCTAAACACAGGCAGTTCACAATGAAGTACTTCACGTGAGAATTTCAGTAAGAGGGCAAGTGGGGGATGGAACAAGGCCTTGAGCAAATCACTGGGACTTTTATGGGCAGTAAGTGTAATCCAGTATCAAACCAGAGAAAGCTCTCTGATCAAAAGCCAGCCACCTGCCCTATGAAGGAAGCTGCTGTGAACCACAGACTGAGAGACTATCAAGAGACACTTCTCAGCTCTGAGAGACTCTAAGTGGGCTCCTGGCACTCTCCTGAACTCAGTAGGTCACCATTCTTAAAACATAAGCAGTGCAACTACATGTATTTAATATATTCCACATTAAAAGCATTCACAGCTAGTTAGCTAGTTATGTTTGACCTTAGGGGCTGTTAGGTTCACAGACCAAATATCCCTCATTCTCTCTCAATACTATCCTGGAAAAACATGAGTTTTCCCATTATTCTGTATGTTTCTAGATTTAAAACAGATACCTGCCAGGATTTATTTGTTAAAGGGAAAGCAAGATCAGATGCATTTTCCTCCATCTCCATTTAAAATTGTCTTTATTTCAGTCATTTTAAGCAGAAACCTCTCACAGCAGTTGGGATAAGCAGGCTGTTAAACCATTACACTGTTACATTCAATTGCAGAGATACATCTCACTTCATACAAGTATAAGCAAAGGTGTGTTTGTGGTGAGGTTTTTTAAGGAGCAGTTTTTATATGTCTCAGTGTGCCAAGTACATTGATCTGCACTCTTTGCATCAGGAGGCCAACTAGGGACACAGTACATCTTGCCTGTGGAACACAGGGGGAATTAAACCATTGTGTCACGACAAACCTTACCTGACAGAAAAGCACATTCAACTTCCTTGAGGAATCCAACTGTTCACCTATACTCAGTATTGTCATGGGTGGGGGTCCTTAATTGCACAGAGGTACAGAGCACTACTTCTTGGATTACTTAAAACTTAACTGAGCACTACCCTCATATCTTGACTCTTAAAATATCTGAGGCACAAGTATGTGTGTGTACTTGTTTTATTCATAATTTGTCTTGGGATACCAAATATATTTCTACTTCAGGTGATTCAACAGAATTGTTGACCTCATTTCAAAACATCCACTGATCCATTTTTCATTCAATGGCAATATCGAATGTTAAAAGGAACATAAAAACAAACATGCACACAATTGTACAGTTTTCATAAATGTCTATTTCATTATTTGTGGGTAGCGCATTAAACAGTTAAATACATTTAAATAATGTTTAAGTGACTGCACTAATGCAGAATTTTAACTAGATGGGTAACCAATTTAACTAGAAACCAGCTAACAAGTAACTGTCTAAATACTTCAAATACAGCTCTTGTTCTAGGTCATCCTTCTTGGAAAAAAAAAGCCTGCTGGTCACATTGGAAATACATTTTAAGGCCAAATTCTTCTGATATCCCTTCTCTGCAGCAGTTTCTTCACCTTTTTAAGCCTCCAATTCCAGGCCAAGACCAAGTTTATGGCCACCAGCATTGATGCTCTTTCCATCTATCAGGGCAGACAGTGTAAGCTTCACACCTGTAAGATTTTTAAGCAGCACATTTACAACACACACAGTAGCTTTTATGCAACCCAACCTCTGTCACTACCAGTCCCAGTTGTAGCTCTTTTTCTATTTCATTACTTTTTTTACAGAAGAATATATTTACCCATGAAATCCACTGAAAGTTAGTCACGTGAACTAAGCTAGATGCTTTTTGTAAACACTGTGTTATGAAGTGGATATACAAAGTCTCTAATTGCTAAATACACAAGAGCTCTCCTTTCCTTCATTAAGGTGTGCAAAGGAGGAGGAAAATTGTGGACAGACACGAGGTCAGAACAAGTTAAGTTCTGGACGTTTTTTTTACTAAATATGAAGAGCAGAAAGTGTGTTTTTTTGACAATTAATCGTTCTTTCAAGACCTGCTATCATTCAGTGTCGTATGATTGGAGAAAACAATGCCAAAAAAGAAAACTTGCTTTGCCTAGCCTCAGGTTAAGCTGTCAAACGCAATACAGTCCACTCCTGTACAAATCAATGAGGAATATAATGCATTAATACCATTAGATAAAATGGATTTTGTCTTACTTAGATAAAGGTTCGATGTGCAACATGACCTACTGTAAAACATCTACTTTGCCTTCAAGACAAAATTATTCTGAAGAAGGAAAACAGTTGCATATAAATGCATAGATCAGTTTTTCTTTGTGATGCATTAAAGATATATATGTGACATAATTCATGTGATAACTCTTACCTGGCCTCAGCGTCTGGGTGTAACCCACTCCAACTAGACTAGAATTGTTCACTTTTGCCTATTAAAAAAAAAACAAGACAAAAGCAATTGAAAGGTAACTAATTATTTCTTTGTTATAATTTAGAAACTAGAATAACTATGGCAACACTGCCATTATCAGCTTAACCAAATTTTACCTGTTCTTTCAATACCTCTCTGCTTCCTGAATTCTCTCCTTCAAGATTATGCCCTTGTCCCTGTACTTGCAGCTGAAGCAGTAACATATTTAAGAACATGGAGAACTGTTACTGAAATGTGGTTTTGCAGGTGAACTTCCCCACTTCTGCTTTTTCAGAAGGCCACAGGCATTTACTACCAGTCTCCCAAAACATGGCACTTCAGAAGAAACATCCATGTTCGTATAATTACAAAAGAATTAGCATTAAAAGTCCAATCAGCCAAGCAGCAAAAATTTTCTTATTTCCACATATCATAAACAATATGTGAACTTATTTCTCTCACTTTGCATCACTTCCACGGCAGGATGATTCCAATGATCCAGGTTCAATCCTAACTTTGTAATGTACAGAAAACTGGTGTGCTTATCACCTTTTTAATCACTATTGCAAGGAGTTCTTACCATGAGAACGTACCAGAGCTCCCCAAAAACTAGTTTTAAAGAAATTCTGTAAACTTACAGAACTAGACATGAAGGGTGGTTTTTTTCCCCATTGTGTTTTTCTTTTAATAAACACAGTAAGACTCTCAAGTAGACCCAGCATTTGACAGACAGGTTCTGAGAGACTCTGCAGACATTACAGAATTTAAATACTGCTGGTTTTATTATAACTGCCAGGATGGTTAAGAGTAATTCCTACAAGTCTTCACTACCTTTCTCTGTACTAATAGCACATAGATTTGCAAACATTGAAAATACACTGAACTCAGCACAACCCTTCAGGTTACAGCCACACTCACCGAGATAGAAGCAGTGGAATCCAACTTGTATTTAGCTGCAATGCCAAAGCGAGTGCTGTTGCTGCCTGCTGTCCAAGCCAGGTTTACAGCAGTTTCAAGATGGTCACTCACTTTTTGGTAAATTGACCCACCAAATTCGGAACCATCATTGCTGCACAAATTAAGAATAAAGTTAAGTTTCCTTTATTACCATACCCTCCCCTTTTTTTTTCCCTTCTTTTTACTACTTCAAATTTTTATTTAAATTAAAATTTCAGAAGTTTGAGTTGTTTCCCATTTTTTGGCAAGAGAAGGGGAGATTAATTTTGCCCTAAAGCCTTTGTTAAATTGCAATAATTCATGGAAATAAAGAGGTATTTCAGAGTGCTACTTTGTATTACTTGCAATTCTCACGCTACTGTTGAATAAAGTCCTTGAACAAAATTCCAGATCGCATCCTTATGAAACTGATGGATAAAAGTTAGTTATAAAATGGCCATTATGAATTCATGACTATTGAATACATACGAAAATCCTAAAGAATTAAACGACTTTTTAAAAAAATCTGTCACAATGTTTTATATTAGTAAATTGAAATGGAATTCTTAAATGCCAGACTATATCGTATTTTGTAGTTTTCTCCCATACTCCTCAATTTTCATTAATTTGGACAGACACAATCCCCATCCTTCCCCTCCAAAAGCACAAACTTCTACCTAACTAAATGCACTAGAACTCCACCAATTTTTATTAACCTAGATTGAAAAACCATGTTTTTCAGCAGGTTTTTCCGAGCTTGCTCCGAAGCACATTAGATCTAAAGGCAGCAAGTCTGAAATTTCATAAACAAGATGTCTTACACTTGTTTAGTTACACTGTTTTATGCACTCTTCATTCCTGACAGTCAAGAAGATGAACCTACTCAAAAAGTCCAAAAGCAAAGCTCTAGTCTTGCCCTAGCAGCTACTACTTACCTGCTTAAACAGTGCAACACTAATTACTACTTCTAACAAATCTGCTGTCCTTAAATTGTAGTCTGATACAATTAATTCAATGTAATAGGAGAGCTGGAAAAAGCATTATGATCAGTTCTGCATAACTGAACTACTGCACTTCCAATTGGCATGTACTTCAATATTATGCGAACTGTATCCTGCTGCAAGTGCTAACAAGTCACAGGTGTTTACTGTTTTGAAAAAGAGAAATACAAAGTATCTTTTACATTTATTTAGAGTTTCCTATTGAAAAATGCACTCCATTTAATGGCCTTGTAAGCACCTGTTGATATTTCAAGCATTTCTATTTTGACTAGAAGGAAAGGTAGAGAAAGCCTGCTTCTGTAAATCTGGACAAAATTTTCAGTACTTACACATTAGTGTGCAGCTGGAAGTCTCCAGTCTTGTAACCCACAGAGAAATTATTTCTTGTCAATTTTGATTTGGCACTATCAAAAGTCATCTGATAACCAGCAAGCCAGCCTTCATAACCAAGGACAGCTGAACCGTGGATTGCAGGTCCAGCAAAATCAAAGTCAACATCACAACCTAGGTTTACGCATTCACGTTTGTAAGCTGACTTAATTTTACCACTTTTCTTTCTGAAACAGAGAAACAGTTATCTTAAGACAAGGCATACATGATCTTCCTCAATGAACTGCAAAATTCAAGCCATATGACTCTACACAATGTATCTAAACGCCACGCACATGCAGCCCCTAGGCACGGCAGAAGTACAGGCAGCCCATCCAGAGCACATGGGGCTACTGCAAACAGGCATTTTCTGATAAAGGCAGCAGCAGCTGAATGCCTCCTGCAATCTTCCAAGTATTCTATCCCAGACAATAAGTGAAGTGGGCTGTTGTGAAATGTACAATACTAACCCCACAGTGATGTAATGAGAGTAGAATAAATAAAATTAATAGCACAATCCTTTAGCGTTGGGATTTGCTAATTTGGATCAATAGCAAACCATACAAACAGCTCTGTCAGTACCACAGACCAGCTGTTACTGCCCTAAGTAAGGTAAACAGGTTAACAATTCTTACCCTGTATTTGGTGAGAAAGTTGTATCAAATGTCAACTTCAGGCCTTTGGCAAGCTAATTGAAGGGGGAGAAGAGAAGATAAAGCTGTAAGTTCTGTTCTGTTAGATAGGTAAAACAAATAAATACTCTCCTAATCTATTACCTGATCTTCAATTGCAATTTCTGTTCCCAGAGTGTTATCTGTGTTCCATTTTTCTGTGAAAGTCAGCCCATACTCAGCCCACTTGTATTTGGTCTCCAAGCTCCCATTCACTTTTCCAGTGTCTGTGTTCGATGAACCAGATGTTGTGAATTCCTAAAAGGGACAGAAGATACATGTGATCCTGAAAGCATTATACAGTGTTTTCTGCAGCAAACACTAAGATCTTGTTATTCTATACAAGTATACGACAATCAGTAGACAACTTGTAGAGGGAGAAGAAGAACTTCCCTAGTCCCCATCTCAACTGCAGTGTTCCTGCCAATATTACAGACTGTACAGGGTTGCATATGGGGTTTTTTTCCATTTTTCTTGTCAACCATCCCCAAAGATAAATTACAGACAACTGTAAAATGTCACAGAATGGCATCATTTTTCAAATTGGGAGTGGGTGGTTTGGTTTTTTGTTTGGTTTGGATTTTTGATTGATTTTTAAAGAGAGTTATTAGTCTAACCAACACACCAGCCTTTCACGCCAGCCACAGGCACACACGTATTTACTGACATCTATAAAATTCCCTGGCACTTTGGTTTCATGACACACAGGGGTAACATTCATGTTTGAATAGTGAGCTCAGGGAACAGTCTGGTTTTATGGTATGGTATGGACTTACCTGGAATTCTTCAAAGTACTTAGAAGTTACCAATATCACCCACATCTCTTTATTAAAAGGACTTAGTCCCTGATGTTTCTCACTATTTGGATTCTCACAAAGAACAAAATGAACAGTTTCTATGTACCACTATTCAGAAACTAAAGGCAATACATAGCAGAAGTGGAAGCCAGGTTTTACGATACATGTTAAAGAGTTCTTTCCATTGAAATATTACTGCCCTTATGACTTAAAAAGCTGATTATTTCAACTTCCTAAAACATATAAATAAAAATTTTTATCTGTCTTCCTCCATGCACAACATTATTTTCAAATAAACTTCTCACACTCACCTCCCCCAGAAGGAAAAACAAATTTAAAATCATAAGTCCTTAAGCACTCTGACAGTCCAAGCCCAGAGAGCAGAGAGCAAACATGCATGAGACTGTTCTTTAATGCTGGCTGATCAAATTTAACCATGTCCAAGGTATTTATTTGTGTTATGTTAGTGGACCCCTAAACTATCCACATAGTTACATAATTCTAGTAAGGTCTATTTCTTGGGAAGGGGCAGGGACTACACAAATACCTTCAGGTTTAACTTCTTGCTTTGTGCTGCTCCTACTATACAGGTCTGTGTGACTCACACTATTGTGGCAATAGCTTCAGGAGCAGCAAATTATTACCTCTTATCTCTGCTTTAAAACATCTCCAGTACATTCATGCCAGCACTTTGTCCTCCTGGGAAGAATGGCTTATAACTGATATGGGATTCACATTAGGGCTTAGATTTTTCAGAGAGTTTTACCAGCATAACCAGCATTCTTGAAAAGCACAAGCTAGAACACCACCACCTACATCTATAACAGGGCTCTTGCAAATTGTGCTTCAGTTGGGATACAGACCTCTGGAAAAAGCAGAGCATATAACCCAGGAATCTTTTTTCTAACAGCAAGTTACACTGCTAAAGCTCCAGTTATAGGGGAAAATAAAAAAATCTACTTTTATATCTTGCAAATCTACTTTTATATCTAGAAATTATAAAAGTTACAGGGGCCACTGCTTGCATGACAAAGACATCTTGCATGGAACACTACCGCAACACTTCAATACTCAGCAGAGCCAAAGATTCAACATGCTAATTCAATGCCAACTACTTCATAACAAGCATCAAGATGGCAGAAATTTCCACCAAATACAATCAACATCACAAGGCACTATAATCAGTATATTAAAATACCATAAAAATCTGTCAGCTATTTGTTCACCTTCAGACTTAAGACCAGGGACGACTAACAAACCCCTTTATCTTACCAAGATTACTATACAGTGCAATACCCCTGTTACATTCAGATCTTTAGGGGCTTCTGAAATTATTTTACACCAGAAGTTTATCATTTATAAAATCTATAAAATACTTAACAGCATCTGCAGAGCATCCCTTCTAACTAAATAACAGAACATATCCAGAAAGAAAACATAATGAATAAAAGTTATTTAAACTCACCACTCCACTTGCAGATTTTGTTTTCACATCCAGTTTCACCAACCCAAAACCTTAACAAATAAAAGTCAAAGTTACACGATTAGGCCTTAACTAAGGCCCTGCACATTTTTCAAGAAGCTGGTCTTCCAAGCAGTCTCAGCAATGTGCCACATACATACATATAAATAAACAACTATAGACTGACTTCAGCAACACGCAAATTTTAGATGCTGCAGCAGTTAAGGAAGCTACTCCAAAGCAAGCTGGAAGTTCTGTTCAATCATCACCACACAGAAAGTGGGGAGTAGCCTCTCAGTTGTACACTGTACATTTAACTACCAAATGATGGCTTCCAAGAATAAACTTAGTGACAGAGGAAATACATAATTTTCCGCTCCTGGAATGGCATTGTTTACATTTCCTCTCAGCACCAAGACAGAACATCTCCAAGTAAAACTCTACAAAAGTGAAGTCACTGGGTAATACACAACTATTGGAACTGTAATATAAGTAGATTTTATGGGAGTGTCAATTCACATTGTTATCCCTACAGCTGAGCAACAGTCTTGGTGAAAAAGCCCCCACATGCATTCCCAAAGACCAGAAAGAAACAGCACTGTAACAAAGAATAATTTAACTATGCAACTGTCTGGTATTAAATAATTTCAAAATGTAGAATGATTCTTTATCCCAATAGCCTTTCCTCTTTCTATTCCAAAAAAGGCTATAACATTACACCGGTATATAACCTTTTCTTCATCAGCAAATGTTGTGGCACAGACAGACCGGTAAACAAAGTGTACTCCTAAATTAAACTACACTTGCTGCTTACATGCTTGCATACTTGTACACCTCTGACATTTACATGGCTAGAGCAGTAAAATTTAACAGACTTCACATCAAAACAGCCCACAAAAAGCCTCCAACAATGTTAATTGACTGCAATGATATAAAAACAGCACACCTTCTCCCTTCTCAGAAATACGGGCATTTAAGCATTCCATTTTACATACAATTTTAAAAAGGCAATTCATTGTTGCACCTCAAACACTGCATTTAAAAAAAGGTACTATTCTTACCATATCCTTTATTGAAGATATCTCTGGCAGATTTGCCAAGGTCTACGTATGACGGAGGAATCGCCATTGGAGCTGAAAGGTAAAAGGCTAATTAATAGTGAACCTTTTTCCACTGCACACAAAAAAATGCTACCACAACTCTCTCAAGATACTCTTTAAGGCGGTTTCATCTATATGAAGGCAGTTAATGGATATAATGGCTTACACAATTACAGTGTTCTGTGAAACACCTACATATTTTCAGTGAAGGTCACTGTGAATGTGAGATGTTTTCTCAGAGAGGAGACATTACAAGACCACCCAGTTCTTAAATTTTCAAGTCCATTTCTCGACGCACCTTTAATTACCAGAAATAAACTAATACCTTACATTTCCAGAGTTGGCACAGTTACCACCAAAAACCCAGAAACTGTACATCTAAAAAACTATAATGCAAATAGTTAATTCTGTGAAGTTCTACAAAGTCAAATTTGACACATGTCTATGAAAACTACCTGAAAATCCTACAAGATTTATTTATGAAACTGTAAAAAGAAGGCATATCTCTTCCACAACATCATTTTCGCCCCACATTTTATATGGCAGACATGCCATTATTATTTATATTTATTATACAGAAACACATATAAAAATGTTTAAATTAAAAAAGAACACTAATGCCAAACTAGCAATCAATCTGTTGAAGTTTTTCCTCCCTATAGCATGCAAGAGTTTAAATTTGGGAGGTTTTCTTGTTTGTTTAAAACACATAAGTAGGAGGAGTGCTAGGTCGGTGAGAAAAGCTCTCTTGTGAGAAAAGCTCTCTATAGAGTCCCTTTCTCTGACAGTCCCTTGCCTCTGGCAATGTGGCTGTCCGAGAATCTGTCGCTCAAGATGACCTATGCCCCGGCCCGGCATGGGAGATGGAAGACACTAAGCTAAGGTCTCACCCCGGCCTGTATCACTCTCCTCCCTGCGAAGATACACTCTATCAGCACCTTTCTTCGGGGACTGTGTTCTCATGATTTCAACAGCAAAAGGCCACTGCTACAGAGGCCCTGTATTTTTACAGAAAACAGCATATTAATAACTCTCCCCATGCTGAGAAAGGAGGGAGAAGGGGCGGGGGAACAATGCAGCTAACTAGATAAGGCCATGAAAAGGCCAAACACAAGCAAACAAAAATCTTATCTACTCAAACTGATTGGTCACATTTGTTTAGCAGAGAAAGTCAGATTAACATAATTGACTGTTTATCCTGCTCTCTGTGGTAGGGTTTTAGGGGGTTTAGGGTTTTTTCGAAGTAAATGAAAAAGTATCTTCAGAACCTGAAAAATAACAAGGGCAGTATTCTCACACATGAACTTCCAACTGAAAGCAAAAGTGATTACTTCATTTTTATACAGTACTTTTAACCAATATTTAAATTTCCATCATCTGGCTATAGGACTGCTTATCTTCTGCAAATCTAAACAAGATCCTAAAGTGTACTCATTAATACAGGATCAAGGCAAGCCTTTTTTTTCCCCTTCTGAAAACCATTTCTTCTCATCTTTTCACAGCCTTATCTATATCAAGGAAAACTTTCCTGGAATATCCAATTTAGAAAAAAAATGCCTTCAGGGCACCACACCATTAGGCAGACTGTTGTTACAGAATAGCATCCACATGAAAAAAACCCAAACCCTAATTACACCTGCTATATACAGCCTAATTGTATGAACTGCTACTATTAAAAAAAAAAAAAAAAAAAAAACCAAAACCACCAAACTATTTCCACAATCAATGGAAAGGACAAGACTGCTCCTTAACTTTGTACAATTCATAAGGCAGTTTTCCAACAAAACAAAAACACCCAAACAAAAAGCTTCCTTCAGCAAAGACATCTAAACTCTACAACCAGGTCAGTACAGGAAGACATCTATCTACCTTGCTCAAAAACTTAAAACAAGTCTGTTTTTCCAGGGAGTTAAATTAAATGTTAAATTTAAAAAAGACATGAAAATTACTTAGAGCATGTGAAGTTTAAAAAGGTTTAGCCCAAGTTCAAGTTTATAGAACAGATCCTAATCCCAGTGACAAGCCATTAAATGGTTCCTATTATTTATTCAATAAAGTGAAGCAGATAATTGACCAAATTACAAGGAAGCGTGGGAACACTGCTCTAGCCCTTCTACATTTCTACTGTACAGCAAATGTACAATTCTTTAGCAGTTTAAAATATTTTAAAGAAGGTCTAGTTACGTTTCCTTTAATGAACAGATCTCACTTCTAACTAGCATCTTAAAAAGAATAATTATTTTTATTTTTAAAATTTTATATTAGCCTTCAGCATAGACATGATTTTAGAGTGCAAATAAATGAGCTTTTCCCTTTTGTTTTAATGTCTCCAATCTGACTAAATAACCATTACAGACGAGAGATTTATGCTAAGCAGAAATGTCCTGAGAAGTTAACAAACTTGTATCCATGTCAAAATTCAAAGGATTATTACAGTAAAGAGGATGCTGCCACTTTATCAGGCCTAGTTAAGCATTCTTCCCACTACAAGGAAACTAGCCAGTATTTGTCAGACATTCTAGCCTACACACGCAAGTTTTGTAATAAAAAGTTTAAACAGTACAACTGCCACGCTGCTGCTCAAATTCTATACTAACAGGGACAGACAAGGACAAAAGAGGAAACCAAAAGTTCATTTTGAATATACTAAATCCCCGATAAACCAGTGTCACCATCAGAATATTCATTAAATGAAAACAGGGCCATTAAAAAAAAAAATCAATCCTGTGTCTTCCAATGTTAGCTAGGTTTGCAAATTCTTATAATCAAAAGTAAATTTCAACCCAATTTTGAAGAGTCTTTCACTTAAAAACAACTAATTAGAAGTGACTAAAATATAAGTACCACTTAGCAACTGGATGTTTGTTGTAAAAATAACTAAGAAATAATCTACTTGAATTACTGAATATATTTGAAACAAGTGAGAGCTCCACCCTAATCTTTGTTTCAGGCCACGGGAAGGAAAAAGATAAAGGTTAATTAATCTATTACTCAAGAGCCAAAATCATGCTTTCTTCTCCCATAAAAAGAAAAAAGAATGACCCCAAGAACAGAAAAATGTATTAACGTTATCAGGATTATTACATCACTGTTTTCCTTCACACCCTATAATTAAGGAATGTCACAGACTTCTATTAAGATTTCTAACAATTTTAAGATCTCAGAATATTGAAGATCAGACCAGAAGCCAGATCAGGTTACTAAAGAAAAAAAAAGGGACTCATGTAATTTTAAAAAGTAGCAATAACTATGCCCAAATTATCTCAGTATCCCAGTAAACAGCAACAGAAAAAAATGAGATTACTTAAAGCAAAATTTGTTAAAATACACAGGACACACTCTGACCTTCTGGCTTACAGGGATACTACATACAGCTTAAAAAAGAGAAAATCCACCTCCTTCCCCTTGCATTAGCTGTCTCCCTACCTCAGCTCGGAGGTGGACACGCAAGCCTAACCCTGGCCAGGCCAGTGCACAGACTAAGGGGAGAACGCCTGGAAATGCACTACGGACTGAGAACCGCAGGCAGGGGCAGTAACGCAGCGCCTCCCCAGGGGAAGGGAGCGCAGGGCAGAGCGGGGGTGCGGTAGCAGGGCCGGCCCGATCGTCGCCCCAGGCCCGGCGCCAGGCGCGCCCGCCCCGCCGCAAGGTGAACCCGCTCCGCGCGGCCATCTTGGGCATCCCGGCCCGACCTCCGCCCGCCGCGCTCACGCACCGGGCCCGACCCCAGGAACACGGGGACAGCGACCGCCGAGAGCCCCCCGCCCGCCCCGCCCGCGGCACCCGCCGGCGCCGGGGACGCGCCCTCGGCCCCGCCAACACCGGCCCGCGCGGCCCCAGCCCCGCTCGCCGCCGGGCGAGCCCCACCCGCCCTCCCCTGCCCTGCGTGGCCGGTGTCGGCCCGGGCCAGCACCTGCGTGTGTCGGGCTGGTGGCGGAGAGGGGCCGGTGCGGGGTCGGGCCGTGCGGAGGCCGCGCTGCTGCAGCCGCGGGCACTGGAGGGCGAAGTGAAGGAGACACCG